TCACAGAAAGTAGTGTTAGATATCAATTCTCAGTATCGTGAGATATTGACCCGAAAGTAGTGTTAGATATCAATTCTTAGTATCGTGAAATATCGACTAAAAGTAGTGTGAGATATCAATTCTCAGTATCGTGAGATATTGACTGAAAGTAGTGTTAGATATCAATTCTTAGTATCGTGAAATATCGACTAAAAGTAGTGTGAGATATCAATTCTCAGTATCGTGAGATATTGACTGAAAGTAGTGTGAGATATAAATTCTCAGTATCGTGATATATCGACTAAAAGTAGTGTGAGATATCAATTCTCAGTATCGTGATATATTGACTGAAAGTAGTGTGAGATATAAATTCTCAGTATCGTGGGATATCGACGAAAAGTAGTGTGAGATATCAATTCTCAGTATCGTGATATATTGACTGAAAGTAGTGTGAGATATCAAATCTCAGTATCGTGAGATATCGACTGAAAGTAGTGTTAGATATCAATTCTCAGTATCGTGAGATATCGACTGAAAGTAGTGTGAGATATCAATTCTCAGTATCGTGATATATTGACTGAAAGTAGTGTGAGATATCAAATCTCAGTATCGTGAGATATCGACTGAAAGTAGTGTTAGATATCAATTCTCAGTATCGTGAGATATCGACTGAAAGTAGTGTGAGATATCAATTCTCAGTATCGTGAGATATCATCTGAAAGTAGTGTGAGATATCAATTCTCAGTATCGTGAAATATCGACTAAAAGTAGTGTGAGATATCAATTCTCAGTATCGTGAGATATCGACAATGTCAACATTTCATCTTTGACATAATAAATCAATCTTTTCTACAAAAATTGTAATCGAGACCTGAAGGAAATGGGGATTTATATACTAAAACCTTGAGTCATAACAACGTTAACATTTTATGTAGACATTTATGTTTGTGGTCATAAAAATATTAACATTATATGTACACATTTTACAGGATTTTTGTGGTATTACTGGCAGGCGTTGGTGCACTCTGGATTCCTGTTATGATGTCGCAAGAGGGCGGTCAACTAATGGAATATGTATGGGCTCTCACTTCATATCTCTCTCCGCCAATCACATCGCTCTTCTTGGTCGCTGTATTCTGGCCTAGGGCCAATGAACAGGCAAGCACTAAATTGAGTTTTGCTTATCATTTTTGCGGTCATATTTATATTGTTCAATTAGCACACCCAGTCAGCACAATCGTGGTTTGTAGTTCCATGATGCATCACACCAAATATGATAATCAACCATTTCCAAGTTGTAAATCTATTACAAAATGTTTGGAGAGTATCTGATATTCCAACGCCTGATAACATTTTGTTTTACAGGGTTCTTTCTGGGGGTTAACTGTCGGAATGGTGGTCGGCCTCGTACGAATGATATTGTCGTTCATATTTCCCGATCCTCTGTGCGGTGAAGAAGACACAAGACCAGAATGGGTGTCATCATTACATCATAGTTATTTCTCCTTGGTTCTTTTTACGCTATGTGTATTGATTATTGTGACCGTTAGTTTGTGTACGGACCCACTGCCTGAATTCAAGGTAACGACAAGTATTGTATGTATATACAATCTCCCGCTAGTGTCTCTGGTGGCCGACCCCTAAAACGAAGTATTGTATGTGTATTGAATATTAAGATCGTTAGTCTAGTCATGAACCAACTACCTGATTTCAAAGTAATTCAATGAATTCAAAAATTAGAAGAAACATTTTTTTTAATGTTGATATAAATGATTTGTTTAAGTAAATTGTACTATGAAATGAACAAAATAAACCCCCATTCTGAATCAACGGCAATAGATTATGTCATCAAAAAAGCATCACACAATTTGTTAGTTGTACACTCATTTCAGTGAATTATAATAAAAAAAATAGTTATGTTCGTCAATTTGTCACATGTTTAATATTCTCATTATTGGCACTGTGACATAATATTAGTGAATTATTTTTGCTCTCAAGACTGCACACGTGATAATCACAAATTACACTGAGTGTGTCACATGACTTTATGAAAACAAAAGAATTGTGTTTACGAATTTAATCATTAACGCTGCAGGTTGGCGTGCACTCTACAAAATACTAAGACAACACTTCCTGTGACGAAACAACGGAAATCAATACATGTACTGCATTGTCTTCTGTACTCATGTGTTGAATACTTAAATCGAAAGAAAATCACTCATTCGCCACACTGATTTGTATTGTCAGAAACATGGAACTACTTTCTTTACTCGGCATGAATTATACGAAGAGTGTGAAGTAACATCGGCGGATGACACTGGGGTAACTGTTACTGCAAACAAACTTACGGATCTACATCCAGATATGAAGAAGGCAAACAATAACAGCCACCAGATGGAATGTAAGCAACTCTTGTTATAAATGATTTACATTTATTTACGTGAATTAATTCCAGTTTAAAAAATAGTTTAATTTAGTACTATTTTGAAACAGTGTAGATAAAGGGCGCAAAAGAACCTCTGTGAGACAATGGACACATGGGAGTACATTTATCACGCTATGATTTCCTTCAGCCATAACATTATCCTTCTGATATACAGTGAACGACCTCAAAGCGGATACGAATCATGACAAAGTACCAGACACTGATGGAGCAGTACAAAGTGACCAATCTCAATGGCAACGTACAATGTATTGGATATGTGGACTGAAAGTATCTCACGACCGTGATGATAATACGGAGGAAAAGGAAGCACAGATTCGACAGTTGCAACAAGAAACAAACGCCAAGAAAACGAAATGGAGACATGTATTAAATGCAAATGCAATTGTCCTTCTTATTCTTGAAATTGCCATTATTGTATACTATCGTTAATGTGGAACATGTCAAGAGTAAACCCTGTCGGCATGACAACTCAAATCAAAAACGTCACCACGGTGTCGCATAATTATTTTTGGCAATTGTTGAGTTTCCAATATCGTAACTGAAAGTTGCAATTATTTGATGATTTATTGTTTTGTTTTTTTCTAGTGTCGATTATATTATAACGTTGATAGCACGAATTGTGGGGTACGTACCATGTCCTAAACGATGTTCAGCGCCTCTATATTGTCGAGGAGTCAGCTGACTGTCTAGTCAGTCTTCGCAGTATTGAAGCTTTTGAATTGTATTTGTGGGATCCCAATGATTTCGATTATTGCCGGATAAAGTAATGTCAGTTATGGGCGATTTGCCTCAACTCGTGCATAAATGTTACAATTTAACAAATATGACAGCACTGTTCAATAGTTTAACGTTAAATATAATCCAACAGAAAACAGGGCTGTGTGTGTACAATTTAGTGAATAAATGTATGACTTGTTTGTATACTAATCAGAAAATGAAACAATTGTAATTATCCGACTTGCAGTTTATTCATGAAGTTGAAGATTAATGTTATTATATTTGTATTAGTTCACGGCACTAGGAACGAAATTAAAACCAATCTACTGCTTATCGTAACAATAGTTGTCAAGTTTATAGGCTATCTGACTATACTTTTGTGAATCATCAACAATCGATCCGAGCGTTCAGACGGACATAAATCGTTATGTGCCGAGGAAGGTCCGGGCAGGGGGGGGGGTTGTCAACCAAATTTGCCCCCCAAAATAGCGTTCAGAGGGTCTAGATTTCGACATTTTCAAAGAGAGAATTGCCCCCTAGTAAGGTCGCGCCTTTGGCACGGGGAATGGTGAGCAGATGTTGCCCTCATTCAAAATTTGCAAAGGAGCCAGCTCGTGTCAGATCGTTCAAATGTGCGTTTCGGAACGTGCTATAATTTAATAAGATAACCTTGTAGCCGGCAACTAATCGCTTTCTCGAAAGGCGACAGTATTGAGATATTTATTTTTAACCATATAATCTCTGGTCAATAAAATATGTTTAAATTACCCAAATTTATGATTTTAAAACAATTTTGCTTTGAATTCTTTTTTCAGAGCGTGATGATTCAAATATTGCTGTTCAAATTTGGATAGTTGGTTGACTCACTGGGTCATCTGAACAATTGTGTGGGACCATTGAGCAACTGCACTTCTAAGCAATTTGGTATGTGTTAAATTCTGTATTTAATTTCTGGCAAAACACGTCATGAAAGCTGTGAAATGTGGTCTTAATGGTACGGGTAAAGCAGGTAATGTTACGCACAATGTCTGAAAAGTTACGTACTAAGTCAGTAAATTTAGGTGCAAAGTCGGGATTGTTTTGTACTGTACATATACACCAAAATAAAGAGTTAAAGCTCCTGGCTTTAATACCTCTCAAAATAATTACAAGAAATAAAGCACAACAAAATACAATGAATAAAGTCACGTGCGAAGTCGATACAGCTAGTGCAAAGTCTGTAAAACACGCAAAAAGTCGGTAAAGGTACATGCAAAGCCGGTAAAGGTACACATGAAGTCAATAAACCTACGGAGAAAAGTTACTCAAAAAAGCTAAGTTACGTAGAAAGACGATAAAATAACGTGCAAACTCTGTAAAGTTCCACGAAAAGTCTGCAAATGTATGTGCAAAGTCGGTACATATGTGTACAAAATCGGTAAAGTTACGCGGAAAGTCATTAAATTATGACCAAAGTTGTTAAAGTAGCGTGACAAGTTGGCACATTTACGTACAAAGTCTTTAAATTTGGTAAAATCAAAGTCTTTAAACTTATGTGCAAAATTAGTAATTTTACATGGGAAGTCGGTAAAATTATGTGCAAATATGGTAAAGTTAAATAAAGTCAGGAAAGCTACGTGCCATGTCGGTAATGTACATTTACGTGCAAAATAATGTGCAAAGTCAGTAAGGTTTCGTGCAAAGTCGGCAAAATTACGCAGTAGATCAGGAGAGTTACATGCCAAGTCGGTAAAGTTAAGTTTAATGTGGGTAGTAGTACATGCAAAGTCGGTAAATTTTCGTACATAAAACATAAACATAGTTAGGTAAACACTTGGTAAAGTTACGTAAGAAGACGGAAATGTTACGTGCCAAGTCGGTATGCTAAGCACAATGTCGGTAATGGTATGTGCCAAGTCGGTAAGCTAAGTACAATGTCCATAATGGTATGTACCAAGTCGGTACGCTAAGTACAATGTCGGTAATGATACGTGCCAAGTCTGTAAGCTAAGTACAATGTCGGTAATGATACATGCCAAGTCGGTACGCTAAGTACAATGTCGGTAATGGTACGTGCCAAGTCGGTACGCTAAGTACAATGTCGGTAATGGTACGTGCCAATTCGGTACGCTAAGTACAATGTCGGTAATGATACATGCCAAGTCGGTACGCTGAGTACAATGTTGGTAATGGTACGTGTCAAGTTGTCAAGCTAAGTACAATGTCAGCAATGGTATGTGCCAAGTCGTTACGCTAAGTACAATGTTGGTAATGGTACGTGCCAAGTCGGTAAGCTAAGTACAATGTCGGTAATGATACATGCCAAGTCGGTATGCTAAGCACAATGTCGGTAATGGTATGTGCCAAGTCGGTAAGCTAAGTACAATGTCAGCAATGGTATGTGCCAAGTCGGTACACTAAGTACAATGTTGGTAATGGTACGTGCCAAGTCGGTAAGCTAAGTACAATGTCGGTAATGATACATGCCAAGTCGGTACGCTAAGTACAATGTTGGTAATAGTACGTGTCAAGTTGTCAAGCTAAGTACAATGTCAGCAATGGTATGTGCCAAGTCGTTATGCTAAGTACAATGTTGGTAATGGTACGTGTCAAGTTGTCAAGCTAAGTACAATGTCAGCAATGGTATGTGCCAAGTCGTTACGCTAAGTACAATGTTGGTAATGGTACGTGTCAAGTTATCAAGCTAAGTACAATGTCAGCAATGGCATGTGCCAAGTCGTTACGCTAAGTACAATGTCGGTAATGCTACGTGTCAAGTCGGTATGGTACGTGTCAAGTCGGTAAGCGAAGTACAATGTTGGTAATGGTACGTGTCAAGTTGTCAAGCTAAGTACAATGTCAGCAATGGTATGTGCCAAGTCGTTACGCTAAGTACAATGTCGGTAATGCTACGTGTCAAGTCGGTATGGTAAGTGTCAAGTCGGTAAGCGAAGTACAATGTCAGTAATGGTACGTGCCAAGTCGGTACACTAAGTACAATGTCGGTAATGGTACATGCCAAGTCGGTACGCTAAGTACAATGTCAGTAATGGTACGTGCCAAGTCGGTACGCTAAGTACAATGTCGGTAATGGTACGTGCCAAGTCGGTACGGTAAGTACAATGTTGGTAATGGTACGTGTCAAGTTGTCATGCTAAGTACAATGTTGGTAATGGTACGTGCCAAGTCGGTATTGTACGTGTCAAGTCGGTAAGCGAAGTACAATGTCGGTAATGATACGTGCCAAGTCGGTACGCTAAGTACAATGTCAGTAATAATACATGCCAAGTCGGTACGCTAAGTACAATGTCGGTAATGGTACGTGCCAAGTCGGTACGGTAAGTACAATGTTGGTAATGGTACGTGTCAAGTTGTCACGCTAAGTACAATGTTAGTAATGGTACGTGTCAAGTCGGTACGCTTAGTACAATGATGGTAATGGTACGTGTCAAGTTGTCACGCTAAGTACAATGTCAGCAATGGTCTGTGCCATGTCATTACGCTAAGTACAATGTCGGTAATGCTACTTGCCAAGTCGGTATGGTACGTGCCAAGTCGGTAACCTAGGTACAATGTCGGCAATGGTACGTGCCAAGTCGGTATGCTAAGTACAATGTTGGCAATGGTACGTGCTAAGTCGGTACGCTAAGTACAATGTCGGTAATGGTAGGTGACAAGTCAGTACGCTAAGTACAATGTCGGTAATGGTACGT